TTGCCCTTTACACTCTTTCATCAACTGGCAGGCATATATAACAGTAATATCACAAAAAGCCACAAAAATTAACTTAACCATTGTCTGAATAAATTCAGGTCCAATCCAAGACTTTGCATGCCATCAATTTATAGTGCAGATATGCAGAACACATAGGAATATTCATGAATATCACTGCTCTCACCAAACAATCTTTCTTTGGGGAAAAAAATCACATTTTTATTAGTATTTTATCAGTATTATTATTGACTTGAACATTACTGACAACATACCAGAAGTATAGTAACTTTGTAGCTACTTACATTGTAGTGACCTTCAGAGGCCTACTTCAAGCAATGCATAAGCTAATAAAGGATGGCACTCATTTTTAGTGGCTGCACCTTGCTTCAGTTTAATCAGATGAAACAGCAGCAGGAAGTATTAGGGGAATAAAAGCTCCCATAGAGACTAGAAATGGGCATAGATAGACAGTTTAGAGCTACAAATTATTAATAATAATACAACCCAGTCTTAAGGAATAACAAGAATACCCAGGCATTCACCTATCAATTATCAAACATTAAGTTTGAGGAAAAACTTGAAAGAGGACATAGGGGGAATTAGACACTAAGTCTACTGCTTATAGCCCTTTGAAATCTTAAAAATAAATAAATAAATAGAATTAAAAAAAAAGTGGGGGGAGGTATAAGTTGATATCATGGCTTTATGTTTTATTCTTTCATTACAGACCTACTTTAGAAGTGGTGGTATGAACATTACACAATGGCTGTATGTATCACAACTAACTCCCAAACTATCCAGTGTTACATAAAAGACACCTTGGAGGGATTTAAATTTATGAGGTCATGCTTTTCTATGCCAGAAGCAAATTATTCCCAAAATAGACTGGTAGCTTGTGACATGGGAAGGAAAGAAACAATGACACAGAAAGTGATCTAGCTTGATTTGCAACTAATATTAATTACATCCACCTCTTAAAATTTATAAAATGCTTTAACACGTTTCTGGCTAGTAAAACTTCTTTCAAAATTTTCTATCAGTCTGATTTCAT